CATAATTTACTAATATTTGATTATTCCGTTTACATCTATATGTATAATATCTATAACAAACATCTAGTAATCTTATATAAAATGTCTTAAAATACAAAATATCACCTGTTTAGCTACAGCCTTTTATAATTAAAACATTACTTCCAATATATTAATATTTCATTTTTATTCGTGCCCAAATAAAAGTAACAAATCTTGAAGATTAATCAGTTTATAAAGCGAATATGTTTAAATTATGGATCAATTATTTACTTCTTTTTGTTGCCCATAAAGGGTCTAAAGTGCTTAAAGGATCTGTATTATCTGTAGGCTTTTCTAACGGTTTTTCTTTTCCAAAATTTTCAGTTTCTGGTGCACTTTTCACTCCTAAGTCTAAAAAAACAAATGCGTATTTATTAATATTACTAATTTAACTTCAAATAATACTTACTTGTTAACTGAATATCTTGTAGATAATGTAGAAAAACCTGAAATGCAAACTTAAGATGTTCCCTATCACGCAAAATATTCTTTCGAGCGGTAGTTATACCAGAAGCAATAGCTAGTAAATCTGGTATATTCGTTGGTTTATTTAAAAATTCAATTATTGCTGTAGTTAATAAACAAAACAGACCACTTCTTCCATTACCGGAGAGGCAATGCACGAGTATTGGCTGCGAAGTCGTTCTTTGCTGCTCTTTCCAACAATTGATGCTTTCTTTCACAAAGTTCGAAAATACATGGAATGGTGGAAACAGACTAAAACATTTTCATAATATGTAAATAATAGGTCTTCTTATATAAACATGCACTAAATGAGGTAAGCGGGTGTAAATTTTTGATTTTCATTTATTGATGTGCAACATTTTACAGTGCTTATGGGATAATTTCATGAATGCGACGGAAACACGTAAACGGAAGTTGGGGATGGGAAAGCACGTGCTTGGTACAGTTGGCGCATGAATGAATAGATGTTACACATCATTATTATATAAGATTCGTATATTTTTTGTTTATTACGCTTTAATTCTCCATACATTGTTAATTCCGATAATAATACTGGGTATAAAAAGTTTAATCTTTTTTTTCACTGGTCAAATATTAAGTTAAAAAAAAAAGATACCTTCCAGGCCAAGCTGTGAATTGCATATGAATAAGATTTCTAGAATCTCGTTCTTCCAACCGATGAAGAGAAATAATGCGTTGCGTCCAGAATTCTTTAATATCATTACTTTGTAATGTGACAATCCAATTACCAAAAGTGAGTTGCTGACCCTTTTCTTTTGGCCAATAAATGTCTTTGCCAATCTACAAAATACCATCAATTAACATTTGAAAATTAAAGAAGAAAATGAAGCAAACCTCTTGATCGTTCAACAGACAAACGATGAAATCTACTTTTTGTTCCCAAACCATAGTCCAAAAGTCATTAATGGTTGTTTGCAAAGCCGTTTGAGTTACCAAATATATTGGACAATGGGGTGTTATATTCTACAAAACATACTTTTATTTGCAAATACAAACCCACAATATTTTAAGTTTTCTTAGTTTTCTCCTTGACCTTCAGTAGTGCTGCCATAATCTGAACTAGATCAGATGATATATTTAGTTTTTCAATCGTACAACATCCAACGTTTTGCCCAATTTCTTGTGTCATTTTCAATGAAAGTATATAGCTGCTACTTTTGTATTTTTACAATTTCCTCGAAAAAGCCCACAAAAAATTGGGAGAAACTTTGCAGGTTGTACTACTGAAAAACTATAATATACTACCTCATCTAGTTCACACTATTACTACGTTTTTAAGTTTTCTATCATTTTATTTTTTTTTGCTTCTTGCAAATTAGCTTATGAGTGGAAAGGTTGGTCTGAAGATCACATACCATATTTAAACTTTACTAAGCAAAATCTAACTTTGAGGGGATGAAAAAAAATTAAATAAAATAAAATAAAAACCGGCAACACGAAAACTGTTTTCACATTATTGGTACATATGACGTATCTTAAACGCCAATGAGCAAATAGCGAAATTCACAAAGCTTTATAGCTATTTCCAGTCAGTGGCCGATTTTACGAAAAAAACTTTGAAATTAGGAAGCAGTTGCATCCACAGAAAAATTTGGAATAAATTCGTTGCTATTATGGTGCTTGATCAAAATATAGTATATAGTAGTACATATAGTGCATTACATGCAGATTCCACTTAGTGAAGGACAGGAGAGTACGATAGTGCACGGTGGTATTTAATAAAACAATGAAAATAAATTAGCTGAATCATATTGAGGAAATAACAAAATTTACCTTTAAAATCGAAGCATTTATGTAATCATCTTTGGTAGATGTAAGCAAAACTCTTGTGTGGTCGTAAGGTAAAATATCAAGAAATCTATTTTTAGAAGGATAACATCTTCCCACCGAAATAATATGTTTCTGCTGATCCAAGTCTTGCTTATCCTGAATTTCTTTCCACTTCATATCTAATGTAGTAGGACCACTTAGTGTTTTATTACATAAAACTTCCACGAATTTTTCAAATTTTTCCAATTCTTGAAGAAATACCTTACTGTCACTTTGAAGGTTTTCAAAAAGTCCGCGCTTATGAATTTTTTCAAACAATTTCATTAACAACGGGGGATTTTCGGATTTGACTGTTCTTATCTTTTCTTCTGACTTTGCAGTTAATGACTCTTTTAAATTACGATCGACATTTTTGTTAGTTTCGGCAGCTTTTTCATTTTCTTCAGGCTTTTGCGGTTGTAAAGGAGGGTGACTGACAGAAAAGTCTAAACCAGATAAAAGATCAATGTTTGATGACACGATGGATGTATTTTGAGTGCCATTTGCCACTGAATAAGTTGGACTGACAATTGAAGGATTTGGTGGCAAATTTTGATAACTGCTGTTTGTAACACCTAAATAACTTTGAGAGGAATTATTTGGGTAAGGTACATTTTGGCCAGTATAGTTCGTTTGTGAATATGGATAAGTGTAATTAGTTGAATCAGCTGTAGTGTTACCTTGGTAATAATACTGATGACTTTGAACAGAACTCAAATCTTGAAAATTCGCAGGGTTGCTATACACATTACTTGATGTTGAAGGTGCCTGATAATTATCGGTTGAGATGGGATACGAGTGTGGTGTATAAGTTCCATATTGGTTGACAGTAGAGGCTGTGTAAGGATTTGCTTCATAAGCATTATAAGTACTAGTGTTATTTGCACTTCCTAATCCTGATTCTGTAGGTGTATATTCAGTAGAAGTATTTGTTAAATAAACTGAATTGGGGGTAGTATATGAGTAAGAGTTTGTTCCATAATTGTAAGACAAATTCGACGCATTTTCTTGAGTTGCCGGACTGGCAACGGCATTCGGAAGGGTTGTATAAGTTGTATTTGTCACGGCAGTTGAACCTATAGCCTTACTACTATCTGGGATAGGAACATACTGCGACTGAGTTGCTGGGTAACTAACGGAAATATCTTGATACTGTTGTTGGTAATAATACTGCGTCGATGTATCAGCGATCTGTTCAGAGCTTGCAGTGCCGTAAGAGTAACCCTCTTGAGGTTGATATAGACTGGTTGCCAAATAAGGGGGATAATACTGATGTTCAGAATCAGGTGCCTGATATTGTGAGGTCGATGGCAATGGTGTAGGCGGAAAACTGGGAATGTTAGTTGAAACAACAGGATTTTTGACACTGGGTTGTGGTATTTGTGAAAAGGTTGATGTTGGTTGTTGGTAGCTTTGATATGTGTGAGTTGAAGAGTAAGGAGTGGTTGTATGATCTGCAGGTGCTTGAGAATATTGTTGTGGTACTTGAATGTAATTATTAGACGGATATTGGTAGGAATAATTTACTGATGTGTTTGTATATTGTTGTGGAACTTGATATCCTTGGCTTGCATAAGGTGGTTGCGAATATTGTACAGAAGTCATGCCCATAGGATACTGTGAGGATACTGCAGCAGAGTTATAGTTATTGTAGATCGCCTGACGTTGACTGGATATACTTGTCTTTAAGCTAGCCATTCTTTCAGCCAAACTCGAATCAATATCACTATCAGATGAAGTAGTGTCACCGTCATATTTAACCTGTTGATCTTTATCCATTTCAGAGCCTACAGGTGCTGGTCTGATAGACGGAGGCCACATTTGATTATCGGTAACGGATTGGTTTACAGCAACTGTACCAGTTGTTGTTCCAGCTAAACCAACATTTTCATTATTTGATTTCATAAGGTTCAGATAATCTTTTAATTTAGGCGCTGTAGAAGAAGGGTTTTCTTTTTTAATTTCTGCAGGTTCGGGTAACCTTTTCCCAACCTTAGCCAACATTTGTTCTCTCTCTTCATCTTGTACTTTGCAAGTGCTTCTTATTCTTTGTAATAGTTTAGTCACATTCGTTTCCAATTTTCCGTAAAATTCAATACCTTTCGTTGCTTTCGATAATAAATCATCATATGTATCATATGAATTGATTAATGCCGAAATAGTTGTCGTTCTCATATTTATAATATCGTTTATATATCTGCGAGTTTTAGTAAAACGGGCATATGCGTCAACTAATGCCTTGCAAATATTATCTTGGGCAGACATATTTTGTTCCAAAATGGTAGCCTAACAAAAAAACATAAAGTAATACAAAGAGAGTAATTAAATTGATAATTTATTTTAACTGATGTTCAACGCAACTAATTAAAAACGGCTTTGTCATGCTACAAAATATTATAAGGTAGTCCCGCTGGTAAAATTAAATTTTAATTAATTACATTATCCCATTTTATTTTTAAATTAACGCGAACCGAGTTCATCCGAACGTTTCTAGCCGACGCATGGAGAATAACTGTACAGATCAAAGTATTTAGTATGTAATAAAATCTTTTATAGACTACCTTATAATGTTTTATTTTAGGAATTTTATGGTACAAATTCGTTTATTTTGCAAATTTTTATTTAGTTACGGATTTTACTATTCACAATTCGGCCAGACTACCTCCAAATCTTCTACAGAAAATAAAATAATAACAAAGTTAATAAAACCTGAATAATGGCATTATGAAATGTTTGATTTTTACAAAACGTGATTACTATTTCATCAAATATTAGCTTCTTCAGAAATAAGTACATTAAAATCTTCAAACGTTTTTATTTGTGATTAATTCTAGACATAAAATCTATGTTACCTACCTGCTTTTTGTGTTTCTCCAGTTCATTCTGAAAAATAACATCAAGAGGCTGATCTGCAGATTTTGTAATTAATACACTGGTTATGTCATCGTTTTGAATAGCATCACGCAATTGATTCCACAAACTAACCCTTTGTTGCTTCATTTCATCTACTTTTGCTAGCAAAATTTCCATTTCCTTAAGTGAATCTTCATCAATTTCTCCTGCAAGTAGTGAAGATATTAAATAAATAAGAGTCCCAGCGAAATATTTTTTTTTTTTTACCATTTGGAAGTGTTATGCTTGGTATTTGTTGTTGCAACTGATTCAATGGTTGCGATAGGACTTTTAGATTAGCAATGTGACTCATCATTGCTTTGTGCAAATTCTGATTTGATTCAGAGGCCTTTGAGTGAGCTTCCTGATATTTAGCTGCTTCACGTTTTAAATCGGTTGTGATAATGCTGGGTGGACGAGCGCCCATTCGACTTTGATATTCTTGCTCTTTCTGTTCTTCCTCCTAAGACAAAAAAAAACGAGTATATTTATAAACTATAACTATAAACTTAAAGCAACCTTTAATAAACCGTCAATTTCTTTAAGCATAGATTCCACTTCTTGGTACGAATTAGATAATTTTCCCATTGCATCGATCAAATCCCTTATGGCGCTGGGTTTGGCTGACATTGCAGCAGCACGATCGATTATCTGCTGTGGTATGCCATTGGCTTTATGCATCTACAAAAATAAATGTATTTTTAGTAATAAAGTACCCAATTAATTTTAAAAAATCATGCTTTTTATTTATTTCTTATTACNTAAAATAAATAATAAATAAACTCGTTTTAAAAAAAGTAAAAGTGAATTATCGAAAGGAGAGACTACGAATAAGTACCTAACCAAAGTAAATTAAAATGAAATAATAATGTTAGTTTGTTTGTAGTATTTTCACGCCTGACTACTTAACCGATCATTATGCAATTTTGTACACAGGAAACCACATAGGGTAAATTTATCCAGTAAAAATATTGTCCCGAGGGATAGAAAAAATTAGTTTGATGTGATCAATTTTAGGTATTAACTACTCAATCGATCGTCATGAAATTAAAAGTAAAAAAAAACAAACAACTGAAATTTTTGCATTTTTTCGCTTATTTGTTTTTAATATATCATAGACTAAATTTTGTTTTTAATTTTTAAAAAGCTATTTCAATAGAAAATCACATTCTCTACAAAATCCTTCCACTAAAATACTCACAAATTTTGCTTCGTTTTCGAGATATATCAAATCACGTTAGGCGTGCATTTTCACCCTTACTTTTAATTTCCACACGGCGGTTTTCTCATTTTTAATGTTCAAATGAAGAGTTCAAGCAATAAAAACCCTTTAGATGCAGAAGGTTAGAAATGAGGAGGTATTAAAAAGAACAGGAGAACAGAGGTCACTGCGGAAGTCGATAAGAAATAGGCTAGATAGTTCGGTAGGACACCTTCTCAGGTCTGAAGGGCTAACTAGAGACATATTAGAAGCAGAAACAAGAGCTGAGAGCAGTAGAGGTAGACCTGGATTAGATTACTGTTTACGAAGTTTAGCTAAGGATAGGAATAAACGGAGGTGCGTATCCAACCAGTCTGGGACTGACGACCTTACGATGGCGATGATTGAAGTATGTCCAGGATGCAAAAGGTTTTACTTTAACCATCAACGACCATCGTTTCGCAGCATGGTGTACTTTTTTTTGGCACGTTATGTTGATTTTTTATGAGTTCTTGCAGTGATAATATATCGAATGTAACTGATACATAAAATAAAAATACCTACCCCTTTTCTAAACATACCATTATTTATACTTTGTAAATTATTAATTTTAAAATCTGTATTAATAAAATCTGTCTATTTTGATCAAATTCTTTTGGTTTTATTTATTAGACGCTTGATTCTTATTTATCAGGTTATTAGTTTCCATATACCTAAGTAGACAACGGAAGACTGTAATAGCTGCAACCAAACGTGCTCATTTGCCATTGACAAGAGGGGTAAGCGAAACTGTACGCATGCTTCAAAAGAAGTTCCTACTACTGCCTCATCGTAAAATACGCGATAACTGAACATCATTTGTGCGAGCAATCTAATACTGTGCAGTTTTGTCTCGGTGAGCGAAGTCGCGGGAATCCACTAGCAATTAAAGTAAATTGTGATAAGATGTACAAGGATTATATTTTTATTTTTTATAGAAATGCCCCTGTTATGTTATATCTCGGGTAAGGCATAGTAAAATAGTGTCCCAAAATGCTGATATCTCCCTTTAACGCTTGTGTTTCAATTTTCGTAATTTTTACCTGTCTTTTAAATCAATAAAAGCTTTTTTGTTTGTTTTATGTACCTACTTGCCTTTTTCATTCAAAAGTTCTCAATTCTCGTCCTACTTTAAATTTTTAATTCACTCCTAATTTTGTTACGGCCATTATTAAAAGTTGAGTAAACACTAATCAAATTATATTAACAAAAAACATACGACCTTTATTCACTTCGACGTCAACACTAGCCCGCAGTGAGTTTCTTATGCGGCCTTAACGAAAGCTAGTCCTTGTATTAATATTTAACGATAAAAATCACGACAAATTAAAAATTAATACAAGTAGGTAAATAACGTGTTGACATCTATAGAGCGTAACATGAATTACAATGCTGTAGTGCGCAGATCTGACGGCATGCAGTTTGCCATCTCGAATTAATAATATTATAAAAAAAGTATAATAATCGTGATAAAAAATTATTATTGTAAATACGTATTTGTTTAATTTAAAATTAAATACAATGAGGTTAATCTGATTAAACATAATTTACTAATATTTGATTATTCCGTTTACATCTATATGTATAATATCTATAACAAACATCTAGTAATCTTATATAAAATGTCTTAAAATACAAAATATCACCTGTTTAGCTACAGCCTTTTATAATTAAAACATTACTTCCAATATATTAATATTTCATTTTTATTCGTGCCCAAATAAAAGTAACAAATCTTGAAGATTAATCAGTTTATAAAGCGAATATGTTTAAATTATGGATCAATTATTTACTTCTTTTTGTTGCCCATAAAGGGTCTAAAGTGCTTAAAGGATCTGTATTATCTGTAGGCTTTTCTAACGGTTTTTCTTTTCCAAAATTTTCAGTTTCTGGTGCACTTTTCACTCCTAAGTCTAAAAAAACAAATGCGTATTTATTAATATTACTAATTTAACTTCAAATAATACTTACTTGTTAACTGAATATCTTGTAGATAATGTAGAAAAACCTGAAATGCAAACTTAAGATGTTCCCTATCACGCAAAATATTCTTTCGAGCGGTAGTTATACCAGAAGCAATAGCTAGTAAATCTGGTATATTCGTTGGTTTATTTAAAAATTCAATTATTGCTGTAGTTAATAAACAAAACAGACCACTTCTTCCATTACCGGAGAGGCAATGCACGAGTATTGGCTGCGAAGTCGTTCTTTGCTGCTCTTTCCAACAATTGATGCTTTCTTTCACAAAGTTCGAAAATACATGGAATGGTGGAAACAGACTAAAACATTTTCATAATATGTAAATAATANAGTGGTTGTATGATCTGCAGGTGCTTGAGAATATTGTTGTGGTACTTGAATGTAATTATTAGACGGATATTGGTAGGAATAATTTACTGATGTGTTTGTATATTGTTGTGGAACTTGATATCCTTGGCTTGCATAAGGTGGTTGCGAATATTGTACAGAAGTCATGCCCATAGGATACTGTGAGGATACTGCAGCAGAGTTATAGTTATTGTAGATCGCCTGACGTTGACTGGATATACTTGTCTTTAAGCTAGCCATTCTTTCAGCCAAACTCGAATCAATATCACTATCAGATGAAGTAGTGTCACCGTCATATTTAACCTGTTGATCTTTATCCATTTCAGAGCCTACAGGTGCTGGTCTGATAGACGGAGGCCACATTTGATTATCGGTAACGGATTGGTTTACAGCAACTGTACCAGTTGTTGTTCCAGCTAAACCAACATTTTCATTATTTGATTTCATAAGGTTCAGATAATCTTTTAATTTAGGCGCTGTAGAAGAAGGGTTTTCTTTTTTAATTTCTGCAGGTTCGGGTAACCTTTTCCCAACCTTAGCCAACATTTGTTCTCTCTCTTCATCTTGTACTTTGCAAGTGCTTCTTATTCTTTGTAATAGTTTAGTCACATTCGTTTCCAATTTTCCGTAAAATTCAATACCTTTCGTTGCTTTCGATAATAAATCATCATATGTATCATATGAATTGATTAATGCCGAAATAGTTGTCGTTCTCATATTTATAATATCGTTTATATATCTGCGAGTTTTAGTAAAACGGGCATATGCGTCAACTAATGCCTTGCAAATATTATCTTGGGCAGACATATTTTGTTCCAAAATGGTAGCCTAACAAAAAAACATAAAGTAATACAAAGAGAGTAATTAAATTGATAATTTATTTTAACTGATGTTCAACGCAACTAATTAAAAACGGCTTTGTCATGCTACAAAATATTATAAGGTAGTCCCGCTGGTAAAATTAAATTTTAATTAATTACATTATCCCATTTTATTTTTAAATTAACGCGAACCGAGTTCATCCGAACGTTTCTAGCCGACGCATGGAGAATAACTGTACAGATCAAAGTATTTAGTATGTAATAAAATCTTTTATAGACTACCTTATAATGTTTTATTTTAGGAATTTTATGGTACAAATTCGTTTATTTTGCAAATTTTTATTTAGTTACGGATTTTACTATTCACAATTCGGCCAGACTACCTCCAAATCTTCTACAGAAAATAAAATAATAACAAAGTTAATAAAACCTGAATAATGGCATTATGAAATGTTTGATTTTTACAAAACGTGATTACTATTTCATCAAATATTAGCTTCTTCAGAAATAAGTACATTAAAATCTTCAAACGTTTTTATTTGTGATTAATTCTAGACATAAAATCTATGTTACCTACCTGCTTTTTGTGTTTCTCCAGTTCATTCTGAAAAATAACATCAAGAGGCTGATCTGCAGATTTTGTAATTAATACACTGGTTATGTCATCGTTTTGAATAGCATCACGCAATTGATTCCACAAACTAACCCTTTGTTGCTTCATTTCATCTACTTTTGCTAGCAAAATTTCCATTTCCTTAAGTGAATCTTCATCAATTTCTCCTGCAAGTAGTGAAGATATTAAATAAATAAGAGTCCCAGCGAAATATTTTTTTTTTTTTACCATTTGGAAGTGTTATGCTTGGTATTTGTTGTTGCAACTGATTCAATGGTTGCGATAGGACTTTTAGATTAGCAATGTGACTCATCATTGCTTTGTGCAAATTCTGATTTGATTCAGAGGCCTTTGAGTGAGCTTCCTGATATTTAGCTGCTTCACGTTTTAAATCGGTTGTGATAATGCTGGGTGGACGAGCGCCCATTCGACTTTGATATTCTTGCTCTTTCTGTTCTTCCTCCTAAGACAAAAAAAAACGAGTATATTTATAAACTATAACTATAAACTTAAAGCAACCTTTAATAAACCGTCAATTTCTTTAAGCATAGATTCCACTTCTTGGTACGAATTAGATAATTTTCCCATTGCATCGATCAAATCCCTTATGGCGCTGGGTTTGGCTGACATTGCAGCAGCACGATCGATTATCTGCTGTGGTATGCCATTGGCTTTATGCATCTACAAAAATAAATGTATTTTTAGTAATAAAGTACCCAATTAATTTTAAAAAATCATGCTTTTTATTTATTTCTTATTACAACATGTAGATACATGTAAAACGACCACAAATAAATTAATATGGAAAAAAAAGCATGCAAATGTTATCTAGAAAGTGTGTAAGACCCTGAAGAAAAATGTGCAAAATCTCTATTTAATATTTTATAGTATTTATATGAGTTTGATGAAAGGCAATAAGTTTGTATAATCTATAAAAAAAAACTAAACCATTCCAAAAAATGAAATTATTTTATGAAATACAAAACTTCAACTCAATATCAAACTATGTATTTCTACTTTTTATACATGTAAATAATCTTTTTCTTTTTTAACTTGAGTGATTTGATAGTTTATTCTAAAAACCACTTCGAAAGTACAAAAATATCCTCTTGCACTTTGTGGATTTGTAAACCACAGAAAAATGCGGATAACACAAATAATCTCATAAGTATCACTTCTTCCGAATATCTGGCTATATTTACCTGTGTTAAAACATCGATTTGTAAGGACGACATAAATTCTGCTAATGAACGATCCTTACTTTCAACGGTACTTCCCAACTGACGCAAAAATTGCGCTTTTTGTTCACTGTACATTGAAGAAGCTTCGTGTGTTTCCATGGGTACTAATCGTGAAAATATATCTTGTCCTGAAACCTGAAAATTAAATCATACTGTAACGTCAATGGTAAACATAATAAATTTCAAACAGTATACCTCCACGTCGTTTATATTGAATGGAATCCCCTTTACCAAAGATGCTCCCTTTACATCTTGCAATGTATCTTTATCTGGAACTTCTTCGTGGTAAATAAATTCATTTTCATTTTTAGCAGCTTTGCATTTTCCTTCAATAACATCATTGGTGAATGCTAAAGCTTCATTTATTTCCTAAAACAATTTAACAATTTATTTCATAAAAAAATACATATTTAAACAAAGTACAAGGCAATAAAATTAAATTAATGTTTAGCAATTGTAAAAATTGCACAAACCTGTTGATGTTGCAAATTAGAACATTTTTTTCGAGCATCTTGTAATTGTTCAGAAGCTTTCTGATAAAAAGCAACTCTTTCACCCATTTTCTGTTGTTCTTCAGCTTGTTGCCCTTGATATAAAAGTGCAATTGCAGTATGATAAGCTATCTAAAAAGTAAGTATTGATTTATATTAACAGACAGCATCATAGATCCTGTCCTGCTCACAATATGTAAAAGGGATTAACTGCCACTGAATCATATAATAAATGAATAAATATTTAAAATATATAAATCACTAAATTAAAGTTACCTTAAACAACAGATATTTATCCCATTCTTTGCAGGAATGACTCCCAATTAAATCACTAAAAGATCCCTCTAATCCTCCATTCCTTAAAGCTTTTAATGATTGCTTATAATACTCAACAACTTGCACAGCAACTTTTGCTAAAATTAAAAGTTACTAAAAATAGTATTTAATTACTGCATACAGTTTTACCAATTATTGTGGCTTTCCTGTTATCTAACATGCTCTTTTCCAATATGCATTCCTGAGCTTGGGCAAGACATACTAACTGCATGTATTCGAGCACCTCAGGAGCTAATACTAAATTAACCATTTGAGGATACAATTCTCGTACATTCTACAGCAAGATATTAGTAGAATTAAAATATTCATTCTTTATTTACTATATACCTGAAATGCCCATGCAGCACACTGAAAATGAGTACAAGCCATCTTCATACCATCAGGTGAAGTTCTACCATCTTCAGCCCCTAACTTTGAATGCAGTGCACCAATATTGTATAAAATATTCATCAATTCAAATTCTATGTCTGGGACTGAGTAGGACATGTTAGTATAGCCATCACGCCTATAATGAAACAACGAGAGTTTAATAGAAAAACAACAAGCAAATGGAATTACCAAGAGAAATAAACAGCAGCAGGCTGTCCTTCTTCCATAGGAAATCTTGATTTAAGAAAATGGAGTTGACAATAGTATTTTTTCAATGTCTGACAACCTACAACATCAACAGCGGGCCTAACAGCAGCAGCTCGAAGAGCTTCCAAATTGTTAATTTCGTTTGCATAACTTTCACCATCTTCGTGGTAATAACTTGTAATATACTGTATAATAAAATTACTATTTTAAAACTGAATTCAGAATCACATAATACACTTACTTGTTTGATCTTTGGGCCGAAATTTACCGGTTCTGTTGATGTTTTTAGTTCAAAACTAATCATAGGCAGCCGCGGTACAGCTTCCATTTTTGCTGATTAATATCCTTTAACACTGTTTACTTCACAAATTCACTATCGGTCATATGTATTTACATCATGATTAGAGGATTAAAACTTAAATTTAATTACGGATGACTCATTCGACTTTATTTATTGAGATGCACACTATTGTGTAATAAAGTATGCAACAGCAATCAGTTTTTCACATAACAACTGGCATTTACATCAAAAATATTAAAAAAAAAATGTAATTTTGGGATATTCAAACTATGTATTTCTACTTTTTATACATGTAAATAATCTTTTTCTTTTTTAACTTGAGTGATTTGATAGTTTATTCTAAAAACCACTTCGAAAGTACAAAAATATCCTCTTGCACTTTGTGGATTTGTAAACCACAGAAAAATGCGGATAACACAAATAATCTCATAAGTATCACTTCTTCCGAATATCTGGCTATATTTACCTGTGTTAAAACATCGATTTGTAAGGACGACATAAATTCTGCTAATGAACGATCCTTACTTTCAACGGTACTTCCCAACTGACGCAAAAATTGCGCTTTTTGTTCACTGTACATTGAAGAAGCTTCGTGTGTTTCCATGGGTACTAATCGTGAAAATATATCTTGTCCTGAAACCTGAAAATTAAATCATACTGTAACGTCAATGGTAAACATAATAAATTTCAAACAGTATACCTCCACGTCGTTTATATTGAATGGAATCCCCTTTACCAAAGATGCTCCCTTTACATCTTGCAATGTATCTTTATCTGGAACTTCTTCGTGGTAAATAAATTCATTTTCATTTTTAGCAGCTTTGCATTTTCCTTCAATAACATCATTGGTGAATGCTAAAGCTTCATTTATTTCCTAAAACAATTTAACAATTTATTTCATAAAAAAATACATATTTAAACAAAGTACAAGGCAATAAAATTAAATTAATGTTTAGCAATTGTAAAAATTGCACAAACCTGTTGATGTTGCAAATTAGAACATTTTTTTCGAGCATCTTGTAATTGTTCAGAAGCTTTCTGATAAAAAGCAACTCTTTCACCCATTTTCTGTTGTTCTTCAGCTTGTTGCCCTTGATATAAAAGTGCAATTGCAGTATGATAAGCTATCTAAAAAGTAAGTATTGATTTATATTAACAGACAGCATCATAGATCCTGTCCTGCTCACAATATGTAAAAGGGATTAACTGCCACTGAATCATATAATAAATGAATAAATATTTAAAATATATAAANAATTCAATCATGTAATAATAATAAAAATGAAAAGTAGAATTTAATTTCATCTTCAAGCTCTCTCTTTATATTAAAGGTTCAGCTTTTGTTCTCCATTAAATAACATTACTGCCTGTTATCAAGGTTTCCATAAGTCATTTACTTATAATACGGACTAACTTAAATTTATTTTAGAAACTTTAATTGCTTGAGACATTTCATACGTTTATCAAAAATGGTAATGGTTTAATGAACTGTGATATAAAAGTAATAATCTGATTTTCTAAATTATGTATACAACAATTCTCATCTCCTTCAATTTGAGTAATACATCAAGAAGTGAATAGCTAAACACTTTTCTATGTACATATAAAGTGAATAATCCTCTTTTGTAGATATGGGTCAAAGGGTATGCAGTTTAGTGGGTGGTATTAGAAAAGGAAATTTCGCTTTCACTTTTACAGTGCAAGTAACAGAGGGTAATCGCAGGGTTGTATTGATTTTACGAGCATGCGTGGCAATAACCCAGAGAAAGTAAATTAAAAAGGATTATTTTAACAATGCGTAAGTGTGCAAATTATCAATGACGTTAAAAATGAAAAAAGAAACGATTCAAGTTGTATAATATACAGATGTTATGGTAATAACTAGTCATTTTATATTAGTTTTTCCGGATTTAAATAAAAGCCCCCTAGGTGGAAAACAAGGGCATTGTGAGTTGAATTGTCAACCGTTGGGGTCGCTCGGCGCACTTCACACACGAATTCTGATAAATTGATTGGAGTTATTCAGAAATGCAACTGAACAGCGGCGATGTTTTTGTTTAAACGTACCTAGATTTCCTTAAAGTAAATGTGATATTTGTGATATGCAGGGCTGGTGCTTTTTCGCGATCCGGTCGCGAATGAATCAGTCTTTAGGAATTAGTACCTGAATTCTTCATGGAAAGCTTATTAGAAGAAGTAGAAAAGATTCGAGTTTAACTATTTAAATTCAGGTAAGTGCATAATATTTATTACTTTTTCATCAAACAGTAAAAAAAAATAATGTCCTACATGTTTTATAAAATTGAAATGAAATATTTGTTCCTATCTAAATAGAGTGCAGTTCGAAATTTTAAAATATATAAAAACCGCCTTAAAATTTAGCTAATTTAATTCGGATACAAATTAGCCCAAGTGATAAAAAGCTGTATTTTTTATATGAGTTGAAAGTATGCTCCTTTTCAAATGTTTGTTAAATTCGTTATCCTGCGAAAATTAATGCAGCTATGCGTAAATGTTCGTACAGCTCCAACTGAGCCTACATACGCACAGCTAGTGGTGCATGCATAGCTTACCTTGATGCTATTGATTCGTTTGGTACTACCGTGCAGTGTCGGAAGGAAATTAGAGTTTCCTTACTTACTACTCAACCTCAATAGACGACTTTCTGATTTTAATTCACCTCGATAAAAATTTTTGCTAAACGCACCAAATGTCGATTGCAATATTCCAAGTAAAAGCTCCTGTTTGCGCGAATTTCTTGTCGAACTATTTACAACATAGTTTTCTCATGTGGATTCATCAATGTTTTTTTGTATTAAACTAGAGTTTTTCAAAAGCAAATGTAATAATTATTATGTGATATCTATCGTGATAACTTTAAGTACTTTAGTGTTTTATCTAGGATCGGAAAAGTAGTGCTCTTGCTTTCAATCTTCAAAATGTAAGTATTTAATTAGTCGTATTTAGGCATTTTATCAATTTCTAAATATGAAGAAGTGAATTAACATTTTATGCAACAGTTGGAGATAATTTGGTTGGTACTGATTATGTTGTCGTTGTCAGAGAAGTAGAAAAGATTGATTCGTTTGTAAGTAGCAGGTGTCTGTGTTTTTAAGATTGGTAGGTCAGGAAAAAGCCCGAAATTACCCACGTCANAGGATTAAAACTTAAATTTAATTACGGATGACTCATTCGACTTTATTTATTGAGATGCACACTATTGTGTAATAAAGTATGCAACAGCAATCAGTTTTTCACATAACAACTGGCATTTACATCAAAAATATTAAAAAAAAAATGTAATTTTGGGATATTTTCTATTTTGTTAGTAAATGTCAAGTAATTGAATAAATAAGGTTAAATAATGAAAGTGACAGCAGGGGTGGGAAGTCAGCAACTAAGTAGTGCCAACTAAAACTAAATCACTAACACTAGTAATATTCCACGGATTTTTAATATTTTTATTAAATAGCAACAAAATAAAAAAAAGTCTGGCTCTTAATGATTTATGCGCGACATATTAACCTACGATTATGTTGTTAACTGCTTTGAAAGCAAAACATCACCAACGTCAATATTTCTGATCTGACATTTACAGGGTGTTCACAAAATCTTCTTTATAATGACATTTTTGCATGCTCTAATTAAAAAAAAAACGAATTGCTTTTACATAAACACATCTTATTTTCACTAGAGCAATTAATTGTTTATAACTTTATACGTAATTTCAAAATACTTCACCACCAAAGACACGACGGTTAAAATCAATTTATTGTTAATTTAATTTCGTTGAAACCATCCCTAAATCCTTCTATTAATTAATTGAAAACAATCAGTACCAGTCTGATACATACAAAGCCGAATACATATATAAATATATGAAATATGAAAAATGCTAAATGCTTTAATAGAATCATACTACATTTTTTGAGTATTCGCATAACAGAAATGTTTAGAACCACCTGAGGATTTAATCGATTAAAGTAAATTAGCCTATTTTTATTCTTTAAGTATTTATTTATTTTTATAGTACCAAAGTACCTGCTGCTCCATTTATTTTTTGAGCTATTGTGAAGTACTTAGCAATGTCTATTGAAACTTTACTGACTATGAGCCAAATTTTTAAGCATAGGATAGGATATAACCCCTCATTGTAATTGTATAGAATATAGAATAAAATTAAGCAATATTCTGCANTAGACGACTTTCTGATTTTAATTCACCTCGATAAAAATTTTTGCTAAACGCACCAAATGTCGATTGCAATATTCCAAGTAAAAGCTCCTGTTTGCGCGAATTTCTTGTCGAACTATTTACAACATAGTTTTCTCATGTGGATTCATCAATGTTTTTTTGTATTAAACTAGAGTTTTTCAAAAGCAAATGTAATAATTATTATGTGATATCTATCGTGATAACTTTAAGTACTTTAGTGTTTTATCTAGGATCGGAAAAGTAGTGCTCTTGCTTTCAATCTTCAAAATGTAAGTATTTAATTAGTCGTATTTAGGCATTTTATCAATTTCTAAATATGAAGAAGTGAATTAACATTTTATGCAACAGTTGGAGATAATTTGGTTGGTACTGATTATGTTGTCGTTGTCAGAGAAGTAGAAAAGATTGATTCGTTTGTAAGTAGCAGGTGTCTGTGTTTTTAAGATTGGTAGGTCAGGAAAAAGCCCGAAATTACCCACGTCAATCATTTCATTTATATCTAAATGTATATAATATCTATTATATACATATATATAATATAGTTTCTGTATATAAGGCACATGCATACATATATGTAGCTAGAAACCCTACCTACTCATCTATTTCGCTTTAGCCGGTACTTCAACGTCGGTTGCTATCGCAAGTTATTTCCCAGGATATGAACTAGGAAAGGGAAAATGCGCGGAGAAAGCGGGCTGTAGCGACGCGCGTGGGGTGAACGCAATGCGGGGAGATGGGGGAGACATGTGTTCTGCTGTTACCCCGCTGCAGAAGAGCGAGAGTGCAAGGTGTCTGTGCGACGACTCGACGACGCCATTTCCTTTCCCTTTCTAGCCTGCTTTCACTTTCTCTTTTCCGTCGTCGGCGCGTAGGGGCCAAGGCTGATGTACTTAACCATGCCCTCGGTTTTCCACCTTTTTTATCGCTTTTCCTTTCGTTTCCAAGGACGTTCGAGGTCCATTCTTTTGTTTGATATGTCTACTTGATAGGTACTTACTTCCATGCAGGAAATTCATATTCTGTGTGACGTA